ATGTTTTATCACAAAATTCAATCAATTATATAAATGTAATTCAAGACTAACTCCGAGACATTGAGGGGACGATTGATAGCCGAAGACATCACCCAAAATGAATCCGGGCATTGATCTAACATCACTCCGAGATATCTTTTGCCGGCCATTGAGTATTTCTCTCTCATTGTCTTCAACTCAAACTTTTTTGCGTTTTTTAAAACCACTTTTATATAAAGTTTTAAAAATAAAATAAACAAATATAATAGTTTGTAAAAACAACACATTCTCACACCCGTTGCCCACTAATAGCTCATTGACTGACATACCGATGGCATCGGTGGCCAGTGGTCCACATGCCGTAAAAAGGTGTCCAGAATTATGTATACCAACGACAGCGCCCTTACTATCGAGTACAGGACTGCCGGAGAAGCCTGGGATGGCCGGTGCCGAGTGCTCCACGTGTGGGTTTACTAAGTAAATGTTATCGACACCAATACTATAGTCCGCATCGTTGACCGTCATGTCTGGCCGGTCGGCCCCTAACATCTCGCCCACAGCCACACTCAACCCTCGGTCGGGATAACCGAACACCATTACCGGTTCGCCCGGTTTCAGGTCCTGACGATCAGACAATACAAGTGCCGGCAATGAGTCCTTCTTCACGTACACCCGAATGACCGCCAAATCCTTGTCGGGCTGACAGTACACCACTCGACCCGGTATGACATCGATTGTCCCCTGAGGTATCCGATTAGTGTACACATCTGTGGCCTCTACGGGTGCCGTGAAATTGACGTATACGTACTGCCAGTCCGTCACGACGTGACAGTTGGTTATAATGAGTCCAGTCTTGTCCACAATAGATGCCGTCCCTCTACTCGCTTTTGTGTAAACCATTACCACTGATGGCAGCGATTGGTTGTATATTTGCCACATCTTTTCCCTCGCCATCCAATCCAACAAATGAACGCTTCTTAGAGTTAGCAATGGTTTGAGTGAAGAGTTTGTGTGACTTTTGGTGGTATTGTTGTGACGGATGTATTCATACCAATCATTACCCGCTATTATAGCCGGTATTGACGCCACTAATGAGACACTGATTTTTGACACAATATTAGATTTTGATTATAAATAATTTTTAATAAGAAATGTAAACCTTTTTTTGTATTTCGTTAATAAACTGTTCAATCGATACATATTTTGGAAAATATTAAATATTATTTTCATCAAATAAATATATTTAAATAGTTTTTTCGTTAATTCACAAAACAGTTATTTATAAACACAAAAATTTATTTTAAATATAGTAACGTTTATAATGACTCATTATTAATGAGTAAATTTCAGAATAAATACGTTGAGAAATCAAGTTCTGGATTAAAATATTATTTTTAATTGTTGATAATATAATTACAATTATTTGTCTTACTTTAAAAGTACTTGAAATTAAATCTCTTCACTACAAGAATCGTAGTTATTATTAAAAACTTATTAATTCAATAAATGATTAATAATCATTGATTATCAAAATTTTGTATATCATTATAAAAATGAAATATAAAATAAATACATGTAAATGAAAGTGAATTTATAAATTGAATTATAAAGGCATAAATTGGAAGTGAAATTATAAATACAAATACAATAACGATTTAAACATGAGTTAAATAAGTGAACATTTATGATAATCTTCATGCAGTGGCGTAACCGTAATATACTTAATCTCATCTCCTCTGTAAACTGTAAGCCATACGGACTCCTCATCCCTAAGGCTTTGCAACTCTTCATCCAATTGAGTGAACGAATTGAGAGGTTTTCCATTGATTTCTTCAATCGTATCATTAATTCGTAAATAACTCCTCTGTAAACTGTAAGCCATACGGACTCCTCATCCCTAAGGCTTTGCAACTCTTCATCCAATTGAGTGAACGAATTGAGAGGTTTTCCATTGATTTCTTCAATCGTATCATTAATTCGTAAATATTTTCTACGATTATATAAAAATAGTTTATCACATGTTTTATAACAGATTCACTCAATTATATAAAAATGTAATCCAAGACTAACTCCGAGACATTGAGGGGACGATTGATAGCCGAAGACATCACACAAAATGTCTGTGACATAAATTTTAACGTCACTCCGAGATATCTCTTGCCGGCCATTGAGTACTTCTCTCTCATTGTCTTTAACTCAAACTCTTTTGCGTTTTTCAAAACCACTTTTGCATAAAAAGTTACAAAAATATAAAAATAAATACTCTGCGAAAACAGTCACACTCTCCCACCCGTTGCCCACTACCAGCCCATTGGCTGACATACCGTTTGCATCGGCGGCCAGTGAACCACATCCAGTAAAAACGGATCTACAGGTATGTATTCCGACGACAGCGCTGTTACGATCGAGTATAGGGCCGCCGGAAAATCCGGGGGCAGTCGGTGTCACGTGCTCCAAGTGTCGGCCCGTTAGAAAGGTTTTTACGGTTACGATATTATTGTTATAAACACTGTTATACACATTGGAATCCTCCCACCCTTTCAACACACCAACAGATGTACTCCACGATAGGTCGGGATAACCAAAGACCACTATTGGTTCGCCAACTTTCAGCACCTGGTGTTCAGGCAATACAAGTGCCGGCAATGAGTCCTCCTTCACGTACACCCGAATGACCGCCAGATCCTTATCGGGCTGACAGTACACCACTCGACCCCTTATATCATCGATTGTTCCCACAGTCTGTTTATTGGGAAAGAGATGTGTGGCCTCTACCGGTACGGCCAGCTTTATGTCTACGTACTGATTGCTCTTAACCACGTGACAGTTGGTTATAATGAGTCCAGACTTGTCCACAACAGATCCCGTACCATTAGTCCTTTCTGTTAAAACCATTACTACTGATGGTAGCACTCGTTTGCCTACTTTTATTATCTCTTCCTTTGCCAATGGATCCAACAAATGAGCGATTCTTGTAGTTATCAATGGTTTGAAAGAAGAGTTTGTGTGACTTTTGGTGGTATTGTTGTGACGGATGTATTCATACCAATCATTACCCGCTATTATAGCCGGTATTGACGCCATTAATGGGACACTGATTTTTGGCATAAAAATTATAATGAGATTTTAAGTAAATATTTATTTAGTTTCTTAAACGTAAACCTTTTCTTGTATTTCGTTAATAAAACACACAATCGATACATATTTGCAATAAAATAAAACTATAATTTCCTATAATTTTAGTCAATTTGTGATTAAAATAATGTAACGAACATTTCAATCATAAGTATATCGATAATTAAAATGCATTTTTAATTTTAATTTTTACATTAAATCTTAATACAAAATACACGTGAAATTAAAAAGCACTTTATGTACACAATAATTCAAAATTTATTTAACAGATTTATTATTACAAACAAATCAAACGATATTTAAAACTAAATTGAATTAAACTACAAATCCATTACATATTCATCGATACGATAAACGGAGGATAACATGGAGTCTGTAGACAATATCGAAGGTATGGATCAGTCCATCACTTCAGACATTGTATTCACTGTAATGTTGTTCACTATATCTTCAGATAGGGATCGGTCTGTGGGCACCATTCGCTATAAGATCCACAACTTTATCCATAATATGGACCGTCAATACAGCGATACTGTATATATCAGACATATACCCTGGTAATAACCAAATGATCATGCACATTTTAAATTAATAAAAATTTTCTATTCAAATATCAGGCGATTGAAAGTGTTTACTAAAAACTATGGGATCGATAGATATCTGTCAGCATTTCTCGAGTGTCAGTACAGCTCCACTCAAACGTATGTTTTTGTTGATTTAATCCCACATTTGTTTTGCTAATTTATAAATGGTTTACATTTAACACATGTACCCAAACACCGGGCGCTCACTCAATGGTTGTTCCCATAGGATATGGTCTTGTTTTGCGAGATTTGAGATAACAATTGTCTCTCAATCGCAAAATGTGGAGAATTTAACCCACAGTTTGTGTTAATTTATAAATCCTGTCATTTATTAATGCCATTAATTAATTGTGTGTTTCAGAGACTGAACACAAGTTTAACCGAAAACTATACGATTGGGGTTTCAGTCGATTCGCCAAATTTGATGTTTGAATTCATATACTATTAATTTTCTCATATATTTTAATAATTTAAACAATTTGTTAATATTATTTGAAATCAAATTTTTAGACATTAATGAAAGCGTCAAATGGTTTCAGAAAAGCCGGAACTCTTATCGTGGAGGCAAAGATCTCCGCCGACCGACCCTATGGTGTGGTTATGACCGCAAACACTGACCACATCTTTGAATCACTTGAAAATGTAAACACATTTTTATAAATGATTTTCAAATAATAATTTTGTGTATATTTTACAGAAATCTATTGATTTATATCCCGAATTGGTTTACTTTATGAACGAATCCGAGAGTAATGTTGTGTTCAAAGTGGAGGGCAAACGGATTCCGGCCCTCAAAGAGGTCTTGAGTCTTAAAAGCGATTACTTTAGGTCAATGTTTTCAGGAAATTATACCGAAAGTAACGCTAAAGAGATTGAAATTTTGGACACGACTTATAATGCATTCAAATCTATCGTTTGGTTTATATATTCACACGAATTGCCCTTCAATTTGACCGAAGAAACGGATTTCGAGTTAATATACTCTGTCTATAGACTCGCCGATAGGTTTCAAATCAAACGACTTCTCGATTATTATGAAAACCAATTGAAGGCAAACATTACTGAAGAGAATCTCGAATTGGTTTCAAAAATTGGTTTCAATTATGAAATTAATTCTTTGATGACTTGTGTGAAGGCATTCATCGATAAAAGTTATGACCAATTGATTGGCGAAGAATCACATTATGTGACAAAAATCAATGGCTTAACGAATAACTATCTATTGCTTAAACTCCTCCCAAATCCCACTAAAAAGTCTCGAAGAATGAACTAAATTGTCATTTATTTCTTAAATTGTTTCAAAATTGATTTGTTTATAAAGATTTAGAAAATGTTTTCAATAAATTTGTATTTTATTTTACATTAATTTTGAACTAATATTTGGTTGTATTTTACCATAATTTTAATATCAATTTATAACTAAATTATTTTATAAATTCAAAGCTACAAAATAAATAACATTGAAATGAATAAAAGTTTATTCTTTTTTAATCTAAGAAAATAATGAGAAAACAATTACATTCAATATATAAGCATTAAATTTTTAATTAAACGTTAAATTAAATCATATTTTAAAAATTATACGTTAAGTTATAAACCGGAGATAATTACAAATATTTATTTACAAAATACTATTTGGGATATAAAATGTTAGCTAAACTGACAGTGATTTCCGGGTTGACCGCAGTCTATATCCATCACAAGAGACAACCGTTGTATTCAAACAGACAAATGAGATCACAATTTAGCCTCAGATGCGCTCATTTGACAGAAAGAGTCTTCAGTGACGAGTGGTTTAAGCCGTTTGTGTCGTTTCGGTCGTATTTCCGGTCATCAGATGTCAACTTCCAGACCAACGGCCCGACGAAACTCATGGGATCGGGTGTTATAATCACACGGTTTGGATACGTGTTGACCCATTCGGCGGCCGTACTCTTTCACACCGAACTCACCGTACGGTTAGGCGATGGCCAGGAATTCAGGGGTCGAGTGGTGTACACCTCACCGGAGCTGCACTACTCTGTGGTCAAGTTGTGCGGCACTCAAGACGACTGGCCAGTGGTCACTGCGGGTGAGTCGGCGTCGGTCGAGCTCTGCGATACCGTACATATGATTGTGTGCCCGAAGTTTGGTGTCTATAATAGCGTTGTGTCGGGCGTTGTCTCGTGTCCTAAACGGTTGGGCACTGATGTGCCGGGCTTTGGGTCGGCGGCGCCCGGCGTTCAGTATATACAACATACGGCGTCCATCCCTCACAACGCGTAGGGCTCGGCTCTGGTCGACACCGGGGGTCGAGTTCTGGGTATAAGCGCTATGCAAGACGTGGTCCATAACCTCAATATTTGCATTCCTATTCATTTAGTGTTAGGTATTATTGTTTGTATACTTTTTTGAACTCATATTTTGTGTACTTTAGTAAATGTATATAAATTAATGTACAGATTCTGTGAACAAAGCTCTGGCACAGTTAGAAACGGGTCAAACACTCGGTGTAATCATGTATTGGTTGGACGAGGGGTTGAGGGCTCGCATCGCCGCCGACACCACTATAAACACCGATCACTTTCCCGATGCAAATGGTATTGTTTTATGGGATTTCTTTGACGATAAGAGTGACCACTGGTTTGTGGACACAGTTTATAGTTTAAATTTTGCTTTATTTAAAAATTGCATTTCAATAATAGGAAAAATGTTCACAAATACGATGTGATCACTAAAATCAATGGCAAAGATGTGAAACAAATGGACGATATATTGGTGGCGATGGAAGAGCTCAAGTGTGACGGATCAGTAGATTTGGTGCTTAATAAACGGGGTAAACG